TTATTTTTTTATATTTATATTTGGATATGGCCAATTCGAGACGAATATGAGTGAATAAATTTTTTTTTCTTATTCGCCTTATTTACATTTTGAGCTTAAAAATTTGTTCATATTCGACTCATTAAGCTTAACGAACGAACATAACACGTGCTACTTCATGAGCAGAACATGAGTTATTCACAAAGAACGAGCCTATTTGACAGCCAATAACACCAAATTGTCATCACTAGAATATTGTAAAATGACCATCATCAAATCACAATCGAGTTATCATCCAATTGTTGCAATCTAACACATTTATCCATGACTACCATGACTACCTTGTCATTTTAGAGATAATCAAATACAAGTCAATTTCATTTTGGGCTTAGTTGCTTTTAAGTACGCCAAGATATCCAATTATATATATATGTATATATCTGTGACCATCATTAATTGAATAGGGATTACTTTAAATCAATTTCATTAATTTTTTATTTATATATTTAATTCCATTTGAGGTATTACAATTTTATTTCTTAATGATTAACTTGTGTTTATATCAACTTACAAAAATTTATTTTTTTACCATATTAACTATTGTTGAATATTTATGATTTTTTTTGTATTATATAATAGTTCTAAAACATTTAATATTTATAGAATATTGGGTCTGGCCCAAGTCTAACGTGCGACCTCTCGATATTAAATAAAACACTCTATCAATTTGTTGTGGCTGTTGAACTCAGGTTTGTGTAAATTTCCCCAAAAAAAATAAAGTGCGAAGAGAGATTAAATATATTTTCTATATGATTTCAACAATCTCTATTACATTTAATGTTGCTTTATTTTAGAAAAATGATTTAGGTAAAGTGACAATTACACCTCTTATCCTCTTTATATGCCAACCCCAAATCTCCACCATCTGACACAAATCTCGAGGTAAGACATGGATCTCCATGCAATTTTGTGGACAATAAATATTCAAACATCGATAAAAACTCATTTAGAACTCCGATTTCAGCAAACTTATAGTTAAACTAATCGGCTCAACAAGAAGAACCTTATGTTACCAATCCAATCTAAGTCAAGTCAATCTCAGATGAAGTCATTAAACCATTTTTAGAAGTTTTTTTGGACATATTGAGAAAGTTAAACAAATGTTGAATCTCGCAAGCTTATAATCAGATCGCGTGTCTCGACAAGACGAATCGAACGAGTTTAATATTGCTCAATTCTAATATTGTTCATACACTTAAATGTTCGTCAAACATTTTCTGATCGAATGAAGTTCTCCAGATCATCTGATCAGAGTTGTTTGTATTCCTGCATTCACTACACCTGTAACATTATAAATAGAGCATTGCCTCTCATATGAGGGGGGGACTGAATGTTTGAGAGATAACTTAAAGCTTTGAGAATAAATTAAAGTTCAGCACTACCCATATCACCATCAATCGTTGTTGATTAACGTCTCCCGTCGTTGATTAATGTCTCCCACGGTCGACCACCATTGACCGCCGTCAACCACCGCCGACAATGATCGCCAACTGCCGACTGCAATCGACCACCGCCGCTCACAGTCGACCACTTTGTAGCCATCAACGACCACCGACCGTCGTCAACCGCTAATCACCATCAATCACCACCACTCATTGTTGATCACCAACAACTTGAAGCCATATATTGACGTAGTAACTTGGCAAACCAATTAATCATTTCCCGTTAGTGAGACAAAACTTATTTACAATCATTAACATATAGTGAAATTTTACATCTTTACGTAAAAATTCTAGTGTAATTATTGGTTGTTTTCTTTTACCTGGACGTGTGTTGAATTATAACACAATGCTAAGACGATAATCCATTAATCTACCGCCATAAATTTTCTAGCACACATCAACAATAATAATAATAACCATAAATAATTATTTTCTCAAAAGTAAAAGAAAGGGGTATTTTTTTCTTTTATCAACCCTTTGGGTGACAAAAAAAAAATAAAAATAGGGAAATTTAGAAAGGTAGTGTTATGTTCTTACATATTTACATATCTCACACGTAAAAATTCATATTTACATATATGACACTCTGGTGCTTGAAACCTGTGCTTGAAAATACGTAATTTACTTTTAAAATATGATAATAGTGCTATTTTTTATGCGATGTTCAAGATTTGAGTGCTACGTGGGTGTAAGATGTGTAAATACATAAGATTTGTGTGCTATGCATGTAAATGGCTCATAAAAATAATAATATATATTTTTTAAATAATATCATTTTGATATTATTATATTAGTAAATGGGCAAGAAATTGGGAATAATATTATTATATATTCAAATTATCCATTTATAATTATATTCTTTAAATATAAAGAGAAAAAAAAACACATGTAAATAGTATTTTGATTTAATCACAAATTTGAAATTATTTCAAGCATATTTTTTTTTATTTTTGAACCGATATAATATTTATCATAAAATGTAAGAGCAAGATATCTAAAATATATGCCCCCTGTTTTAGGAAAAATTATTACATCAGGACCACGCACGTAAAGAATTACGTGGGGAGTTCAATGAAATCACGTCACGTGAAAGTACAGGAAAAAATGTCCGGTAACACAATGGAATATTCTCCCCCGTGTTATTTTGTGTTATTATATGTTATTGAGGTGTTATTGTATTCTGAGAATATTTATAGTGTTATAATAACATAATAACACATCAATAACCATTGCATAACACACAATAACACCTGAATAACACACAATAATATCTGAATAACACGGGAAAAATATTCTCTTGTGTTATAGGACATATTTTATTTTATTTTTATCACCGCCACATGGCGTGATTTCATTGGACTCCGCACGTAACAGTACATGCGTAATTCTGGTGCAATATTTTTCCTACTTTAGATTTCATATAAACATATTTAAAAATTAATCAATTAATAAGCAAACATAAGCTCACATATTCTTACCATTCCTTATCTTCACATTTCCATGCTATTCAATTCGGCGGCATAGAAAATTAACAATTAAAACAGTTCGTAATTTGTGGATGGACGGAGCTTAGCATTAGTCCCACATCGTTAATTCTTCCGGCATGTTGTCCTTCTCTTGCTATAAAAACCGCGAAACAAAGGTGGAGAACTCATACCTTTCTCGGCCTTTTGGCTAAGATCAAGTGTAGTATCTGTTCTTATCAGTTTAATATCTGATACGTGGGCCATCGGCCCACTGTGATATTAAATTAATTTTTTATGGGTGGGAGGCCATTACGGTAGCTTGCTGCTGGGCCTCTCGGGCGTCGCTTTTGCGTTGCACTATTGCAATTGCAGGCGCAACCCTACCAAATCGAAATTTAAAGTATTGGAATATTATTTAATGGAATTATTTGATAACATTCAAATAAGGCAGAAAATTTTACTAATAAAGGTTATTTTTACGAGTAATGTTAATTTATTATTTAGTTTATATGAAGACTAAGGCTGTTAATTTGGTTAGTTGTGTTTGTTAAGCTTAACGAGCCAAATACAAATAAATTTTTAAGCTCGAAATGTAAAAGAGCCGAACACGAACAACAGTTC